GAGCAAGAGAAACAAACACGTCCGCACTGCACGACGATTACGATTTTATTTGATGTCCGATTTCTATAAATGACTATAAAGGCATTAAAAAAGTCGATATGCTTCCTCCAGAAAATATTATCTTGGCATATCAATCTAGAAAGGTATAATTTTTATAGAAAACGGCACCCCGTAATCAAGATGATGAAGAACACCTCAACTATATATTTGCCAAGCTTAATAGCCGAGCACGATATAGTCAAATTAAATCCCGAAAAGATGTACTTTAATCAAATATTTGCTTACAAGTGAGCTCTTACACAATTACTAGTAGTAAATAAGCTTCTGTTTGATGAAAATGAGTTCGTCTTTTTTTTGTCGGCGAAGAGTTATAATTTGACATGGAGATTATTTTTCTAAACGTAAATATTGCTTAAAACGGTGTATCAGTTTTAGAAATCGGACATCAAATAAAAAAGTTATAGAAAAAGCTGAATTAGCTGTTGGTGTCGAAAAAAGTTTATAAATCTGAAATACTCTCATAGTTCAAATGTTCAAAATCGCATAGTACTAATTGAATTTTGTATGGCCCATAAATCGATCGAATGTGCAGAATAATTTTATTTTCTAACGATTTACGAACGAAAATATTGTTATTGAATAAAAAAATAATTGTTTTTAACGATAGCAATTCTGCGAAACTATTTTTCCTCATTTAGAATATATGGAAAACTTCAAAGCGCGGCGGCATGGCTATATTTTAACCGATTTCAAAATAAAAAAAATACAGGCCTCCAATAAATTAATTTTCCTGTATATTTTTCGACCACTCTAATGTAGGTACATATATATAAATTAGTGCATAAGAAATGGTAAACATACAGTCGTAATAAAATAAAAACAATGCCCATTCTATTTTTGCATCCGGCGACAAAAATAACGAGGAATGTCACAAAACGCATTGGTTAAAAATAACAGCCTTTCGTGGTAATCTGCGAATAGTTTATTTTGTTGCTTTTGCGTACATATTCATCTGCATACAAATAAATAGAGGTATACCGGGTTCTTGGAGGCGATCAGTACTAAAAGTTAGTGACAGTTCCACACCAGCTTTGAGGTGACCTCGTGCGCTTTAAGAGCAAGGAGCGCCGCTCTGCTATCCGAGTGTATGTAGATGTGTTTTTTGGTTGCCCCACTTTCTACATATTTACTACCTCTGACAGAGCTCAATGGCATGTACCTCAGCCTGTACTCCTGCTCCGACGCCGTGGTCAGTCTTTGAGTCGTCAGTATACCATATGTTGCTGTCCTTCCGGGGCTTAGGTCGTTCTCTGTCCCAGTTATTCCTGTCGAGGAAAAATACCTTGAAGTCTTGTGAGAAGTTAAACCTCGGAAGGCACATGTTCACAAATCTTATGCGCAATCCATCTTCTGTGCCTACTGCTAATGTCTCCTTTGCTTTTTGAATTTAAACGGCAGGGCTATAGGTAGATATCAGCCCAGAAGCATTTATTTAGAGCAGCTACGATCAGAAAAAGCTTTTAATTTGTGTGTGTTTTGGTCTTGACTGACTCAGATGTGCCCCTCCTTTTGGCGTCCAGGATAAGTTTACGTTATTTACGGTGCCTTAAAACGTAAGCGAAAATAAATACCATTCAATGATGGCTCTTTGTGTAAAAAACCATCTGCAACCACTCACGAAAGGCCGTCGGTTTGTTTTTCAAAAAGATACAGGTCCAGTCTTGGCTCGACTGACCAAGTGAAACTGCACTTTAGTACACTGACGAAATTATACACATATCCCGCCCTAATCCTAGTGGACTCACATTGAACAAACAGAAAATATACGGCCTAGCTAATGTGCTGTCGTGTCGCGACTACCGGGTATTCTCTGGAATATGGCCTATGACACATCTCTAGCTTCCATGAAAAAGCCTCTTGGAATAAAGCACCCGTTGTTCGTGACTACAAGTTCTCCATTTGTAGCACAAAATTGAAAAAATTTAAAATAATGGTTTCGGTGCCCCTCGTGCGGATAGGCGGAAAAGGAGGATAAAACCATTGGGATTATTATATTATATATAGGTCGCAACCGCTAGATCGTACCTTTCACTTATTTACCAAAAATTTGGTATTGCACTGTACTAGAACAGACGGAAACTGAAAGGTAGAGTGAACTTAAGGCTATTAACTATCTGGCGGTAACCTAGTGCAAGAATCGAGGCGTGAAATCAAGAAAAAGTGGGGCTTAGGTTTACAATTCTCGTGGTCTGATTATGCATACTTTGCATAACTTCGCACAACTTTGCATAAATTTCAAACTGTAATTTCGTATGTACTTTGTATGTATTCCATTACCCAGAAATTAACAGAACTTTTAAAAACTTAGCGATCTGTTGAGCTTAGATTTTGCTTCACATTTTCTTAAGTTACATTTTTATTGCAGTGGTACAAATGGATGTGCGAAGTTATGCAAAGCATGCATAATTAGACCTTTAGTCGCGGGTGACTCAGCATTGAGCCGAGTTATTCAATTGACTCCCAGCAGTGTGCTGCACGCTCAAACTTACTGAGCTGAGTCATTGAGTGAACTCGCGAAAATTCACCGAGCTATACAGCTCTTATCTTTTTAAAGAAATTTGCAGCTTGTACTGGAAAGGAGTTCAAGAGTTTTATAATAAGGATCAAAAAATTTTTCGTAAATTTTTGACTTTTTATAATTACATTTATTATTCTTTTTTTAGGCTGTAAATAAGATAAATTGTAATGTATTGCTTGCTATAATTTAATAGCCTTTTGTTTATGCGAGAAGTTTTTCAATAATATTTATGTGTGTGTATATGTAAATATGCATGTCTGGCTTTTATGGCAAATTTTTCTACAATCGGAAATGTGTCGCTCATCGAGGAAATGCGAAAAAGTCAAAATGTGTGCTGTCTCGACTTGTAAAAACAATCCTCTGTACATATGTAGATGCGCACCTCTGCCGGCTACTTGGAACATAAAGTGTATAATGCAACTCGCACCACACTTTGCCACTCATGTGCCCAACTTGCTATTTTCATGTGGGCAAGCAAACTGCTTGCAGCTGACTTTTGTGCTTTTGCATTGCGATGGTATCAATAAAATAAACTCATACATACATAAAGTGTGTGTGGGAGAGAGCATGCATGTGATGTACTCCAACCCAGTATCAAGTTGTTAGATACTTTTTGGACACATAACTGGCGCTATTTGAGTAAAAAAATGAATATTCAGCGATCACAAATTTTGCAAAGAGTTTGGCCAAACATGTCTTTTTGCCTCTACTAACAAACATATGGACATTCGAAAAACATGAAGCTATCAATATACTTACGAAACTATAGGCCAAATATAGTAAAACTCCATTTTTCATTTTTCTCTCTGGTGGCAGGATTTTTGTGTAAGGACTTTGTTGTTTCAAAAACATGATTAATTCCAAAAATTATTTAAAAAATTCAGTGTAATTTAGAATAACAATATGGGTACCAAATGAAAGAGAAAATTCTGCAAAATTAAAAAAAAAAATAAAATTTTTTAGTTCGCAAGGGCAAAGAGGTATCGAAAATGCCCTTTTAATTTAAGTTATTTTTTTTTAAGCTTGTAAAGTTAGAAGAACGAAATTCGAGGGTATGTCGAGTGTATATAAGTCCTTAACATAAAATAAAATGACATTTTCAATACCTAGTACTCCGTATGCACCAAAAAATCGAATTTGCTTTAGTTCTACGGAATTTTCTCTTTAATCCGATATATTTTCTTTTTAAATAATTTTTTGAAGTACATAATGATATTTTTCAAATTTCAAAGTCCTTTTAAAAAAAGCATGAGGCCAGGCAGAAAAACTAAAAACGCAATTTGGCTATATTGCGCCCATGGTTTCGCGAATGTTATTGACTTTTGTGTGTGTAAAATAGGCTGTTGCACGGTGTAAAATTGAAGTACAGCGAAAAGGCATAAAGAGCGAACTACTTATGACTACTTATTTTTGCCGAAATGAATGATTTTGTAACCACTTAACAGGAAAAAAGTTAATTGCTCTTACACGCTTAGCCAGCAGCGTGCACGTACTATGTATGTATAAAAATTCTCGTAAACAATTGAATGTGACTTTGCATATACATACATACATACATATGTACATAATCATATGCGAATGCATGTGCGTATACGAGAGAAGATATTTTGCAGTTTAGGGGGCTAGTCTGGCGCACCGCGGCTCCCCTGCTATACGCCATCTACATACTAACAACTTTTCGCTCTCATTTTGGTTTGGCGCTCACTTTGCTTCGGCTTGTTTCGCAGTAGTTGTGACCTTCAGAATTCGTGCAAAGGCAATGTGTCGATGACCACAGATTCATTCATACATACAAATATACGAATATAAACAACAAACGGCGGACGTAGCAAATGCATGCATATAAAGTTCGCAATACACATATGGAAATACTACAAACGGACGCAAACGAATTTCGGTATACACAAGCGTGCATATACATATATTTATGCATATTTAAACGAAAAGCTAATGGAGGGGAGGTGATTCGCCAACGGGATTGCATGCTACGCAAGCGTCGACGCAAGTGGCATCACAGCTGGCGATGGCAGCGCCAAGTGAGACAAATGTGACGTACATACATACATATGTATGTATGAATGTGTGTATGTCAATAAATATGCATCGTTTGGAGCTCGTATGTATTTGTGCCAGGCAAAGAGTGAGAGTGGTTTTTGCAGTTCCTGGAGAGTATGCACATATGCATAGCTGTGCATATATATGTATATACATTTATGTATATATACGTATTCTAGTTTGCTACTCAATCAGCGAAGAAGTATGGGAGAGCTTTGGGGGAAGAAATGCATGCATATGTATATGTACATACATATGTACGTACTATTTATGTAGTGTAGTTTTTGTTTTGGTTTGTCGAGTTTATTGCGACAAGTAATGTGTTTGAAGTTTAAGATTACTGCTTGGCGCAAATAAGAACTCGTGAACTCGTTATGTTTTTATGCAAATATTTGGTAAATTCTATTCACGTCCACATAGCATGCAGGTAGTTGCACAAATACATATGTATATATGTATGTGTACACGCGCATATGGCTTAATTATTTGTGTATGTACATAAATACATAGGTACATATGTACATATGTAGTCCTACTATTCTTTTTGAACCCATTTAGTATCTAAGTCACTCCTAATTCTTTGAGTGGTGTTTGAACATAGTACGCATGCGCCTAACATGTTAACGTTTATATGTACATATGTATGTATGTACACTAGGCTTATGACTTTTTACAAGTTTTTTACTAAAATTAAATACACTTATGAGGAGAGGATGAGGGAACTTTTTTCTCCAAAGCCTTATTTTTGTTGGCTATTTATCACTCCACATCCTCTCCTCAAAGGTCTATTTAATTTTAGAAAAAAAGTGATATGCCTAATGTAAATACTACATACATACATACATATGTATACGAGTTGTTTTTTAGTGTCACTACTCCCCCCTTATATTGGCAGAAAAAAAAACGCTTAAGCATTATTCTTGCATTTATTTCCATCAATGGAGTTCGAGAAACAAGTACAATAAAAAATAAATCAAGTATTTGCTTAGGCGAAAAAGGTCTGGAATTACTAATTATTTCATTATCATTCGAAAAACGCACATATATTTTTGTTTAGTAACTTTGGGAAGATGTCAAATAGAATCTTCATATTGGTTTTAGATTTTTTTTTTTTAATTATAATAATTTTAGATACTTCAAAATCATAAAAGCAAACAGTGAAAATGTTCTTCTTGCCTAAACGCACGGACCTAGTGCATTAAAACTAGTGTGTCACCAAATGAAAGAAAATTACATTGAGTAAAAATGGCTATGATTTGAGAAGCTAAAATTCCATTTTTACAATTTTGATTGGCAAGCTGGAAATTCATTCTAAAATCGTTATATACATGAGGAAAGTAATATAGTATATGTTTGTGTAAAAATCTCCTACGCCAATATTTTATTACTTAAATAATATGTATGACTTTTAAGTTAAGGCGTACCAGTAAACTTGTTAGATGACAGCGAATTGTGCTACGGAGCGTATACGTTACATACGTAACTACGGATATATCAGAGAGAGTGGTTATTTTGACGTGCCGTTTCGATTATATTACGCTTCTTTTGAGTGTTTTATAAATCAAGAATAATCGTTTTGTAAGCCTTGTGTTTATTTTAGTCAACTTTTAAAAAACCTACTTTAAGTTTGTTTTGCTTGTTGGAATGTACTTACATATATTCCAAAAAAACTAAAATATGTTTTTTTGAAATAAAGTACCTAATAGAAAGTTGTTAGTTTTGTTGTTAACTCATTCTTAGTGGTACCAATCCTGCTGGTTAAGAAGTGGTCGAGCGCTTAAACTTCTAATCGGTGTCAAGGAGATGATACTTTAATGCATACCTACATAATTTTCTTTGTAAATATTCGATTCAAAAGCAGCTGTGGGCTATACTATGTCTTCATTAAAATTTATATACATACATATGTACACATGTATATGCATACATATGGAAATTCGTGTAGGCCAGTCGAATAATTTTAGAATTTCAGTTCGATTTTCCCAGTTTTTAATGAAACGCAAGCAAAATACGGTATTTGTTTCAACTAATGCTAGTTTTAGGTCCGTTTTCCCTGAGTGTTTTCAATACATATGCGCATAATTCACAAAGACCCTAACCAACACTTTTTTCGAAACTGCATTTTTCACAGATTTTGGTGGCATGTATTAAAATACACCTTCAATAAAAATTTTAAAGTGTTCGCAGCAAAAACAACGGAGTTCCATGCCTCTTTTTAAAAATACGTGTGTTTGTTAAAAAAAATTAAATAAAACGTTTGTTGGTTAGGGCCTTTGTGAATTAAAGTGACGATATGTACATATGCATGAATTTCGTTATTATATATATATATATATATATATGGCGTTCTGTCATTGCGTAAATGCATTATTTGTACATGTCTATATAACTGTAAAAAAAAGGTGCAAACACTCACTTCCAACACTTCGATTCCATATATTCCGCAATGACGCCGAATTTTGGTACAGATTGGGATGTAGAAATGTTCCTGACGTCACGTGAGACGCATGCGGGTGACAATGTGCGGGTATGCCAAGCCTAGCTTTTATCTCATCGCTACACGGCTGTCCTCCAGAACTAGAACTATCCACATCAGATACGCCACTATCAGCTGGACTGGGTGGAAAGGAACCTTTAAAAAAAAAAAATTTGCAATATTTTTAGAGTAATATAGGAACACAAGTCATAAATGAACAATTATATAAGTATGTAGTAGATTGCATCTGTGTATTAAAATACATACTATGGACGAGACTATTCGTTCCGATATTCATGTATACGGATAAAATCGGAATATCTGGATATCCGATCAATATCCGTAATTTTTGCTATCCGAATATCCGGTTAATATTCGTTCATTTTGTTATCCGTATATCTGGTTAATATCCGGCTATTCACAGTTTTTAATCGGATCATCCGGATAAAGACCAGATCATAAATACAGCTTTTTAAAATATTTTCGTAAAAATGCTTCTGTTCAAATATAAAATATGTATATACATTAGGGCGGTCCAAAACAGTAAAGTAAAAATTTTAAAGCTCTCACCCCCTAGGACTGTTCAATATCGAAAAAGGTATACCGCTATTTTTTTATTTTGAAATCAGAAATTATTTAGAGGTCGCTCAAAGCGCACAAAGTTTTCTATGTATTTTTATATGGGAAAAATAAATTTTGGTATATAATAGTTAAGAATCAATATTTTTCTACCAGAAAACTCTGTTTATCTGTTTAAAATTATGTAGAACAATTCTACGGGATGAGAGCATTGAAGTTCCGACTTAAAATTTTTTTTGCATGCGTTTTTGGACCACCTTGACGCACATGGTTCTGTACATCGGTCATCCTGGTACTACATATATACATACATATATAAGAGAATTGATCTTTTAAAGTAATATGATTTGTTTTATTAGTAAAAATTTTTTACGACAAAAAATACTTTAGGAGTAACAATAAGTTTAAACCCAATATAACAAACATTAAGTCAGTAAACAAAAATTAATAATAATTAAAATATGCAACGTTAATTTTAATTCAGACAGCACAGCTGCCATCGAACCGTAATTCTGTCTATACTTTGACCAAAGAATGCTTGTTTTCCAGCTAAGCTGTTAAAAAAAGTAAAAATGAAATACCGCTCGTATCGTTGTCTATGGGAGCTAAGAAATTTAAAACTATTAAGGAAACATTAAAGGATGCCATTTACTATGATTTTTCTATAAACAGAATTCTACGAATCACTAATACTTTTTACAGAAGTTCTAAATTAGAAAGGTAGGGACGCATAAAACACAGTCTTATTTGAATGATATTAAACAATTTTGCATTTGTACATACATACACACATATGCATGTACTCGTATACATATATGTCTAGCCTACCTGTTGTGGGTGCTCCATAGGTCCTGTGATGTGAATTGTGTATGGAGCCGCCACTCAACAGATTGTGCAGTAATGGCCGATGTGGTATTGCCAATGGTTGGAGTTGGTTATTCGCACCTGACCCTGAAAGTGGACCGTTATGCTGTGACAGGCCGTTAACAAGCTGCTGCTGCTGCTGCTGCTGTTGCTGTTGGGCTTGCTGTTGTTGGTGCTGCGGAGAAAGTACTACATTTTGTTCGGACTTTATGTGTATAACACTTGACGATGCCGTATATGGAGTACTTTGTTGTTGTTGTTGTTGTTGTTGGAGTTGTGATGGTTGCTGTTGCTGATGTTGTTGCTGTTGTTGATGGTGATGATGCTGATGGTGCGTTAACAGTGGTCCTGGACTCGTTGATTGCTTTATAACCGGGATTTCAGTATCTGTTGATAGAAGAAAATTTCAAATGTTTAAGTACAGAAGAAACAACAATGCAATTATCGTAAGTTTTATTGTAGAAATACTAAGAATGTAATGAATTAAGTGAGAAATCAAATGGTTACCTAACCGGTTTGATTAAGAAATTGAAGGCATGCATGTGAATGCACGTACATACGTATGTATGTAGATATGTAAGAGTTAAATGGGTGGTAATCACCTGGGCTGCACCCGCTATTGCCACGGGAGTTTCCCGGGTTGGGAAATATGTAGCTGACGTTACGTGGAAATGTAAATTGCTTTGGGTATACTTAGCGGAAAAATGAGGCGACAAGAAATCCACAATTTCATAGAAAAAACTTGCAATTAATCTCAATCAAATAAATGCTACTTAAGTGGGTTGAGTTTGCCTTGTGTGTACATATGTATGTACTTTTAATATAGAGTCAGCTAAGTTTGTTCCTTTGTTACCTCCCCCCTCCCCCCTTCCCCCTCCCAGTAGAGAGTAATCTTTTACCACTTTAAAGTTTACTTGTGTTCCCATCTCTAACTTATTCTAAAACTCATACCTATAGCTAAAATTTTCTCAAGTAATTTTGCGCGGTCAAGAAACTGCATCTACCTTGGCACGACAATTTACGATAGAAAACTTACAAACTACACATAGACAAGCCAAGTGGTGGGTCGATGCAAACAGAAATCAACAACAACAATGCACCTCCGCTGTCGCCAGCGAGTCCACAATGACATTGACCCGGTTTGCTACCAGCCAGCCAGCCAGCTCAACAACTAGCCAAACAACTGTCAACTGGGACTAAATTAGTAATAATAAAAATATTTATTTTTCCCAAGTCGGCAAGCTGACAACAAATACACACACATACATAAGCACACTTACATACGTATTTGTACATACATACATACATCCATACGTAGATAAATGCAAGCATGGCAAACTACGCTGACACCACTTTTTAAATTAGTTGTAAATATTCAAGAGACGAAGAAAGGAAAAGCGCATAGTGAAATGAAAATGAAATCGAAATTGCAAAAACATAAACAAAAACAAGATGGGAAAATACTAACACAAAAGCGATTACAGAGTGCTGCATTAAAGCAATTTATCACGGTTTGAAACGAGTTTCATTTATGTGGTCGTTGCTAGTGTTTTTGCTTTCGCCACCATAGACAAAAGCAAGAGAAAAAAAATTAAAAAAACCAAAAAAAAAACAAAAAATATCTGTGGAAACATCAATAATTGCAGCAAATCATCATCTCCACCAAAGTTGCAATAGTGCACTCGAGTGCAGCGAAGAAAATTAAAAGTAAAAGTGTATTTTCACTAATTTCTATCGCCAGATGCAGTGATTTAGCAATAATGCCAACAACAACCTGAAACAATCTTTCCCCCTACCTTGCTTCTTCCCGTTTGGCAGCAGTGCTTTCGTGTTCACTGCAATTGCTTTTCACTGCAGCAAACACACTTATGTATAGTACATCACACACATACATATGTATGTATGTATGTATATGTACACTCGAAGACTAAACGAAACGCTGCAGCAAGTGCGGCGTTTTAAATGATAAGTATGGCACAGTGGGTCACTGACGATAAACCACACGCCTAAATATGTATCTTACTAAGTGCTAGTAGATAGTAAAAATGAAAAAAAAAAACAGAACAAAATAAATTGCACTGCACAAAGTTGACAAAAATTAATCACACTTCTAAAAACTTTCTAACAAATTTCAAACTTTCTATTCAGAGTTTGAAAAATGTTCGATTATGCAGTTTTGTAGCCCATTCAATTTGAGTATAACAAAGTGCAAGTTTCAACTCACTAAATAGACTTCTTTGTTCCTACGTTATATGGAAGAAAATGGTCAACACTCTCGAGAGAAAAATTTCGCTTGCCGCTTGTTGGTTTTCGAAATTTGCAAAGAGCCACCAAAAATTCAAATACAGAATTTCTAAAATTAAAGGATTCATGTGTGAGCTCTATTTTTTAAATCCACCTTGTCTTGTTATTCGAAAATGCCAAAAACTTTAGCTGAGGGTTGAAGAACTTGGAGTTGATTATACTATTGGCGAGCGCACTAATTGTCGTTGGTGTCTCGGAACAGATAACTAAGGAAGTGCCTTTCAAACCTTTCTCAAGCTTTTTTTTTCCGGCTGATGATTTTTAGCACCCTTACCTGTGAAACTGCGCCATCTTGTAATTGGAATAAAAAGTTGAGTGCCGGGTCTATAAAACAAACCTAACCTTTACTGTCTTACAACCTAGGCACGCTTGGGTACCAATGTACATATCTAGGATCCAGATGAGGGAGCTCATTTGACGAGATTTTTACTTAACATTTTCTGTCAAACCAAAGTTATTTTAGCAGTAACGTGTGATATTTGTAGCGGAAATCCTCTAGAGACTGTTGCTGCTGAAACGAAAATACTGCGCTGAATCCATCTTGGAAGCGTCTTCACAGCGTGTTTGAATATATTATCATTGATCCTGGTATTCGAGAGCGAAACCAACCTTTGGAGTCTATTTAATGAGAGTGGTTTATATTTTACGCGCACTAAACTACGGAGGCGACTTCGCACTGAAAAGGTTTGTCTATGTGGAAGCTCCAACTCAGCCTCTTATCAAGTGTTATACAAAGATATTTGACCTCATTAGAGCAGCAGGTTAAGCTCATACCTGAGCAGATTAGACGCAGATATGCCAAATGAGTGTCCGGCATGCGGAGAAACACCCCACGCCTCGAAACATCTCCAAATTTAACTTTCGAAACATGTAAGTTGCAACTTTTTCTGGTTTGCGTTCAATAACTATTTCTAATAACACTGTAGGAACGCTAAAATTATACAAAAAACGCCGAGACACGTTACCTTAATTTTTGGTCTTAGATTACGGATCTGTATACCATTTTTCTAGATAATTTTTCCAAGAAATTTTTTCCAGTTTGAACGAAAAAATGAAAGTTTAACATGGAAAATATTTTAATAACATTCTAACCTGGTCATATTTCATTAACACATAGCCGAACTCGTACATGGCGTATGAGCAACATTCTTACTTGCGCATATTTCATGGAAAAAAAAACATTACGCATTTTCATTTGACCACTCACAACTTGTTTATTTATCATCGATTTTCTTCTTAGTAGCTTGATTTTTTAGTTACAGAATTGGCTTTACTACAAAAGAAAATAATTTAAAAAATTAGTTAATTTTTAAATTTTTTCTCCGTTAAATTTTTTTTGATACAAATTAGGTTTTACCATAAATGAAATAATTAAAAAAAATCTCTTAATTTTTTAATTTATTCTTTGTTAAAATTCGATTTTTTTCATAAAAATGAAAATATCTTGGGAAAATTACTTGATCTAGAAAAACAGAGTACAGATTTGTAATCTACGACTCAAAGTTAAGTAAACGTGCTTTAACATTATTCTGAGTCAATGTTATTGAAGAAGCCTTTTACTTAATTAGCCAGTATTAATTTTTATCTGAAATTTTTATTTTATTCACTAGCAAATACCCGGCGGCCTTCACTGCGCCTTAGAAGTATTATTTTGTTGTTACTCCCTCCAAAAATTCTTTTGCCCTCATTCATAAAAAAAAATAAAAAAAATTTGAAAAGCTTTATGAAATGAGATTTTAAAATACATTTTAGATTAATTATTTTCTATGAACGAGGGTGTTGGTTAATATTTTCTCGAAGGTAATCAGAAAGTCGGTTTAGTATTAAAGGTATACAAATTCGATATCTACCATTTAACTGAACTCGATTTTTCAAATAGGTGACAACCGCTTCCAAAATATTTTCGACGGAAAAATTTCTCAAACCTCTTCAAGTTAATACCTGTATTGTAGTGCAGTCGATGCCGGTTAATTCCAACACCAATTTAACGGTTGTTCAGTTGCAATTAACCGAGGTTTTCAATTAGCAGAACTTTGGTTAAATGCAACAGTAGCCAATTAAACGAACTTTTATTAAACCGCCAGATGTTTCCTTTCCGAATTGTGTTCACTCAATTTTTAAATTCGAACTAAATGAGCTTGCTCGACAAATTCTATGAAATAAGCTGATCGATTATTGCGTGAATCGGGTTGTTATAATTTCGAAAATACTTCTAGGGCCGTTTTATGTTATAAAGTTGAGTTGAATAAACAGTTGGATTTAAACAGTTCCGAACTAGTGTATTTTCGCTATGTTTCATAATTTTTTTTTTCATTTAACCAAAGTATCAAGTTAGCGATAAATAAGCTAAAATAAAATTGGGGAGAGAGTTTCCGTGCCAATTAAGCATACTTTTCATTTAACCGGATTGCAACTAACCGGTTTCGACTGTATTTCGTTTATTTTACTAATTAAGTTAAATTAAAAATTTCGAACAGGTGGCAACGTTCGACAAAAATATTTTCGGCCTTCTTAAACCTCTTTCTTTTACAGCCATATTGCAATTTTACTTCATCTTATCAATTTACTTAAACTAATATTTTCCTACAGGTGGCAACTCTCTAAATTGCCAAACAGAGAGACAAAAACTCAAAAAATTGTTGATTTGGGTTCTACATATTTCTCTAATAAAGGGCCCCAATATTAATTTCTCTTTAATATCTATAATGTATAGTAGATACAGACATCTGCCTGCTACAATTGTACATATTACATGTATAGATTTGAAGCATTTCCTATGGAGTACAAAATTTTGAGTACTAAATATTATTCATTTTACTTCTGAGGCATGCCAACTTGCGCCATTGTGCAGCTATGCCACCATTCAAGTCCGTAAACGCTCGGACAGCGCGTGCGATTGCAATGACGAATGCCTGAAAGTGCAAGCGATCACCACAGCTGTGCACAGGAAGGAAATGGCTGATGGGTTTCTACGAGCGTGCGGCATGAAACGATTGCCTCGTAGGCAGCATGTCACACAAGCACTAGATTCGGTCCGTCGTGCAGCGGCAGCAGCAGCGACGGTAGCGTTGAATGCATATGCTTATGTACGGGCGAAGGTGCAGCTGCCGAGCGCCGCGAAAACGACAAAGAGCGCGAGGATTTTGTGCATGCGGACGAGCCTCTGTCACTCGCCGCAGAAGCAGCATTACATTGCGTTGCGTTGCAACGTGTTTGAATGCACAAATATGCAATCTCGCTGCAGTGCACTCGCATGCAAAGAAACAGCTACGTCAACAGTGAGCGAAAGAAAGCTTGATTGTGTTGGTTTGAAAACTACATATGCATGTATATATGTACATATTACAATGTATGGGTGTAGGCATATGAGCAGACATATTTTAATATATGCACGTACATATACATACCCTGTAGGACCTCGGAATAGACTTAGAGCACACCACAAACTAGACTGCAAGTGATTGTAACTAGTCCAAAGTTTGGTCCAACAACATGTAAAATTCTATTTACATTTAACATTGAATGTCCTAGGCTTGGACCAATTGTCCGCTTCTGCATTACATTGTAACCACTTTTGGGGAGAAAAAAAAAAACAAAAATAAAACTTGCGCCAACTGCGATTCTAACCGGGGTTGTCAGATTTTCTAAGCGGATACTCTCTCTGCATGCCAATGTCGCACATGAAAATTTGTTGACTAAGTGCCTACATATCAGCAAGTCGTTAATTGTGCACGTTGTCCGCTACTG